TGTGTTTCAAAATGAAAGGCAAAAGTTGTTACTCAATTGTGTTGCCAAAACATTTTTCTACTTTTTTTTGTTAATCAAATTCTCTTTTAAAGTTTGAGCTGCTACTGTATTATTGAGCTAATATCGTAATTTTATAGCATTAATTAACATAAAGGCAATGAATCACTCATTAAATAAATATTACTGTAAAAATTAAGATATAATATTTTGCTGTGAAAATGGATTTTACGAATAATGTACCCAGGGTTGGACTGGCCGTAGACCTGAAAAAGTGATCGCTCCCTGGGCCCCAGCCAAAGTGGTGGGCCTTCCTTAAATGTGAGGTGCTCTGACCCCATGCTGTTTTGACTAAAAAAAGCATTTAAAAAAAATCAATATAGTTTTTAAAACATGCTTTTTCATAATATGTTTTATTCTTGGCATTATGAATAAAATATTTGTTTACAATTTCATTCAATGAATTAATCTGTAAATACGTAAGTGAGTCAGAATTTAAATAACTGAGGAACAGAGCATCTTCAGCCTAATGCTTGTGCACAAAATTCTGAATATCGATGTATTGGCAAAAATTATGACTCCTGTGCAGCTAAAAACTGTATTTGAGTTGAAAACGCTTTTTAAGCTGTTTTCAACATTCTAAATGTATTTCATAAATTACTGCAACATCTCGAAAAATGAAATAAATTGAACTATATCACCTGATTTCTGCTGGTTCGTTTCGCTGGTGACATACACTCTAAAACAATCCAGCATAGATTTAAAACTTTTTAATTTTTTTTAAATTTAACATTGTTGTACACAGCTTGCTAGCAATATTAATCTAATATAATCATAAAAAATTATGTACTTTTGTACGCTGAAAAAAATATCTAATATGGAATAAATATTCATCTAAAACTTTTTTAATTTAATAAAGTTGTAACTAAACTAAACTAACTGACTAAATTATAACTTAACTAACTAATAACTTAACTAAAACAACTGCATGAACTTAAAAATATTAAAACTTCGTATTTCATCTAATTTAGTATTCATATAATTTAATATTGTAATAGAGCATTTCAATAAAGTTAATCTTATACAATTTATGAAAAAGTAGGAGTTTTTTACACACTCTAAAGCAACTCTAACATGGACTTCAAATCATTTTAAAACCAGTTTAAATTTATTATGATACAATGTATCAATAAAATCAATCTGATATAATCTTTAAAAATGAAGAAGCTTTAGCACGCTTAATTTAAAATCGTTTAAAAACTTTTACTAGTTTAATTTTGTCGCAGAACAGCGTTTCAATAATCTGAAACAAATATATTAATTCACTCTAAAACAACTCCATCATAGATTTAAAACTAATCAATCTCTTTTATTAAATTTAACATTGTTGTACGAGCTCGTATACAGCTTTTCTAGCAATATTGATCTAATATAATCTGAAAAAGTATGCACTTTTACACGCTTTAAAAATAATCTCTAATATGAAATAAAATTCTTTTAAAACTTTTTTAATTTAATAATGTTAGACCCAAGGTTTCAGTGACATAATTCTGATATAATTTGCAAGAAATTGGATATTTTACAAACGATAAAACAACTCCAATATGAACATAAAATAATTTTGAAACTTTTGCAATTCAATATTGTTGTGTATATATATATATATATATATATATATATTCAAATGAAGATAAAACAAAGGAAAATTATAGACATATGAAATGGGGGGGGGAATTATAATGAAAGAAAAATAGCAAACAACTGATTAAAAAAAAATGATGAAATTTTTTTAAAGAAACCGGAAAATAAAAGATATAATCTTTTCATCAGCCTACACGATTATATCCGCAAAAAAGAGTGCTTTCTGATATTGTATCAATATAGCCAAAGCAAAATATATTAATACAATAGTGTGAGGAGCACTCAAAAAAAAGTTTTTAACGGCACTTTAAATTCCTCTTGTTACNCCCCCCCCCAACCAGCAAAAAATTTCTAGTTGCGCTACAGTCTTAAAGGAAAGAAGCAATAAACGGAAAGAAAAATAAAGGAAAAGATTCTTACCAAAACATTTAATTTTTTCATTAATCTACATATTTAAAATAGTAGTTTGTTAGCTTACTTTGAAGTTTCAGTTCGCGGTCTTTCTGATTTCGCGCATTTCTTATAATTTTGAAAAAAAGATTGCAAGACAGAAAAATATTGCTCCCTAAAACCGGGTCTTGCTCGTTAAAAGCGACATCTGTTCCATAGACTCAAAATTGATCCAACCAAGTATTCTCGTTTCCCTCGGTAAATCCGAGTTCTCGTTAAATCCGAGCTCGTTATAAACGAGTTCGAATGTATATATATATATATATTCCAAAACAGTTTCAAACATGGATTTCAAATCAATTTAAAACTTTTTTAATTTCATATTTTCATGTGCATATTTGTCAAAAATATCAATCTAATAGGAAATATCAGTTAAATACGAAAACAATTGCTTGTACTTCGTGTTAGCTTTTATATTTTAATATTGTTATAAAGCAGTTCAATAAAATTAATCTTATACAATTAATGAAAAAGTAGCTGTTTTCACACAATCTAAAACAACTTAAACATGGACTTCAAATCATTTTAAAACTATTTTTATCTTAATTTTGTTAGGATGTAATGTATCAATAAAGTCAAACATACACAATCTGTAAAAACATAGGAGCTTTAACACACTTCAAAACAACTCCAATATTGATTTAAAATTATTTAAAAACTTTTACAAGTTTAATTTTGTCATAGTACAGAGTTTCAATAATATCAAACAGCAAAAAAAGGTAAGGTAAGCTTACTCTTAAAATCTCTATTATAAATTAAAAATCATTCTAAATTTAATATTGTTACAGAAAGAGCTTTGTTAATATCAATCCAATATATTTTTAATGTTCAGTCTATTAGTTAAATATTTATACTACCCAATCATTTCATTTGTTTCGAAATATCCTTATCTAAATTTCGCTTAATGAAAATCATCCATTTTTAAAAATATGTTCCCACTTTATTGCAGGTTGTAAGTTTAAAAGTAATAGCAATATTTTGCCTTTAATCCTTTAAAATTACACGTAGCGTAACTAAATGCATATGATATTTTAGAAGATTGATGGTGTTTTTAAGACTGTATGTCTGTAATAAGCATTTTATGATTTTCCACAGTGAAGTGTTTCACGTAGCCATTACATTATAAATAAATAAAAAATTCCCATTCTAAATTTATTAAATTCGAATATTCGAATTTCTATTTTAATAAAGTTCTGTTTCGAATTCAAAAAATTATAATCGAAAAATAAATTAATAACGTTATTATTTTGAAGTCAATTAACTTGCAGAAACATTGAACAAACCTCATTTGGCAAAGCTTCTCATTTTCAATTTATCAAAAAATGGTGATAGTTATTAATGCATGATAAATTAACTACATTATTTATCAAACTGGGATCAATTTTTATTCCTTATGTTTCGAAAAATATTTTTATTATAGATCTTTCGATATTGCGGAAAGAATTTCTATTAATTTATAAGACAACCATATTTGCGTGCATCTTAATTAATATAATTCCTTGTGCTTTCATACTGCTGAATAAAATTCGTAGATTTTGATTGAAGTAAACATTTACTTTCAATTGATATTATTTTAGAAGATATTTTGAAATTTAAATCAAGTTCTTATGTGCTCTTAGGTTTCGGTGAATCACAGGATGTAATGGTTTAAATATTTTGTCTTAGGTTATTTTAAAAAATTACTACTCTAAAAATAAATATTAAACTGCATTAGACGTTTAAAAAAAAAAATCGTAAATGTCTCAAAAAACATCTCGAAACAATCTGAAACTCTTTCTAACTTTGGTGCTGCCATCTCTGGAGAAGAATAGAAAGTACGACTATATTGACAATTGCTTTCTGTACAGAAAAGCAAGTATATATTGTTGAAAAGTAAAACTGATGACTGGTAATTTGAAATTAGATTTAATCTAAAAATTTAGATAATCATTAAATTTCAAGTATGTCAGATTGCTTTTCTAACGTCAAAACTGGCAGTTCATTGATTTAGTTAACTATTAAAATATGCAAAAAAAAAATTGTTAGAAAACTTTATTTATTATTGAAGTTCTTCAGTTGGCTATATTAAAGACTAATTTATTATCAAGATGCATGTAGTACATTTTTCCAAACTGCGTTGCCTGTATTTTGCTCCAATTTTAAAATATATTTTATTCCAAATCATAATAACAAATATAAAAATAAAAAATAATAAAAAATAAAAAAAATTGGAGATTAAAAGATTTTAAATTATTTACTTTTTGCTTTATCATTTGTGCAATTCGAAAAAAGAAACAGTTTCAATCAACTTTATTTTATTAGTTTACTTTCGAAAATAAACATTTTATATAAGTATGTTACAGTAAGAGACAGAAATCTAAAGAATGTCGACTTTCACCAGTGAATATCAACAATCAGATAGTCGCTTTGGTGAACGCCCAAAGTGGTTGTTATGTCCAATTTGATATTAATTTATTAATTGAAATTTTAATATTTATTCGACAATTTAATATCCGATTAGAATATATTAGGAAAAACATCCGTGTTTGGAGTACCGGACAAATGTATACTGGGCGGTGGCACTTAACTTTAAGAAAAAACATTCACTGTAGAGAATACCAGGCAATTATTATTTTTTTTCAACAAAAAAAAAACAAAAAAAAAATGAGGGTAGAGGATACTGGTTATTATCCTCTTGCCTACCTAGTATCCCCAACACTAATTCTTTTCCTAATCTAATCAAATCAAAAATTAAAATATCGCATAAATATTTAAATGTTGATGAATAAATTAATATCAAATTAGATCTAGGATATATTTCCGACATTTACAAAGTGACTATATAATTGTTGTCATTCATTGGCCAAAGTCAACAATCACCAATTTCGGTGATTCACAGTGACAAGTACAAACAAATATCTCTTTTTTATTAGGAATCCGTCATGTTGGTGGATTGATCCAAAATTTCTTGCTTAAGGATGGGTGTATGGTTGGCTGTAATAGGTAAGAAAATACGTTATTACCAAGTTCTGATTAATTTAATTACAAATAATATTAAAATTATTAATCAGCTATATAGTAAAAAGTTATTACAATCAATTGATGAACGCCTCTTAACACTTAAGGTAAGTATTATATTATGCATCAACTATTTTTGATATTTTAACAAATCTAAATCTCTCAATTAATGTTCCTTTTAAATATTGTCGGCGAGCTTTTATTATGAACACAGCCTAAAATACGTGTTTAAGAAAATGAATACAGACCCAAAATGTGTGTTTGAGAAATTGGACTCAACTGTACGTTTTTAAAAAACAGACACAGCTCAAAATGCTTGTTTTAGAAAATGTACATAGCTCAAAATGCATGTTTAAGAACATGGACATAACATTTGTTTCCGTTTTTCAAATCCCTTTTTTGAAAATTGTTCATTTTTTAAAGAATAAGCAAATAGATAGTATATGATTCTATCTATTTTCTAATAGATAGTATATTTTTTAAGGAATAAGCAAATGGATAGTAATAGATAATATAAAGAATAAGCAAATAGATGAATAGATTCGTAATATGATTTTCATTTGTATAAATAATTTGAACAATTTTATTAAAATAGTCTTTTTTAAAAAGACTTTAAAAGTAAAAAGCTGTTTTTACAAGGCTGATACGGGTTCTATAAGTTAATAAAAGTGGTTGTGAATTTATGTTGCAGGAATTTAGAGTTTAAAACTCATCTTATCGTTTGAAGTGACAACCACAACATTCCCATACTCCCCAACTTTTCCTAGGAACTGACTTTGTCCCGTAATTATTTTGCTTAGCGTTTAAAAAGTAAGGAAAAGTAAGTAAGAACGTCCTCGTTTACTTGTTAAATTTGGGTTGGACACTGAAAAGGTGCATTTTGAGCTGTGTCCAGTTTCTCAAACACGCGTTTTGAGCTATGCCAGAATAAAAAGCTCACCGACGACATAATTATAATTTTACTCTTTTGTGTTGGAATTTATATTACTTCAAATCAAAAGCTGAACGAGTAAGTATAATAACTAAAATAATTCATTTCACCGAGCTTTGAAGTTCAATTTTCGAAGAAAACTTTTTTTTAATTACGATCAATTTGACTTTTTTCTTTAGTTTCTAAAGAAATTGAAGTATGCTTCAATCTTATTCAAGGGAAGATTAAGACATGGAAGAGTTAAGAGGTTTTTTTTAAATTCTATAGCCAATGCAGAAGGTATTAAAAATAAAAAAAAAATAAAAAAAGAGTACGTTATACTACGGGAGAAATTTTCCATGGCAAATTCTCGTTCCTCTGCTTAAGTTATTTAAAACTGAAAAAAAAAAGTTCAGGTAAACATAGAGTAAACCATGAAGTTTCAAATGCAGATTACTTTTTTCTCAAAATATTAAAATGTAAGCAAATTATAGGAGAAATACTTAAGATTTCGCAGTATGAAGTTATCTAGCAATAATTTGTTTAGAACAATTTTCAAAACAATTTTCAACCTTTGAAGCAACATTGTTTTTTAAAGATTACCCGAGCTAATTTTTTTTCTGAGCTTTGACTTTTTTTTGGTGGTGAAACAGAATTTGCCATCAAAAGTTACTCGCACGACATAACGTTTTCTTAACACTTACGTATAACAACAGAAAAAAAAATTTTATCTGAAAAAAGCTCCTTTCCAATTTTTAAGGTCATGTATAACACAAATAGAAAACGTATTATTTAAACTTGGAAATTAACAGAGTAAAAAGTTTGAATAGTGCAAAACAATTCATCAAGCGAAACCATTTAGTTACTGCATGTTGTGTAAAATTTCCGGATCAAATTACGGTATCAAGTACCGACACTTTGGGAGCATTCTCCGTAAAATCAATTTTAAGAGTCCATTCTTTAAAATATTATACATTAATTTTTTCCGGTAATAATTATTTAATGAGAGTGATTCAGTGATTTTACGGTAATTATTACTGCAAAAATTACGGCTTATCAGAATTTTGTTCAGTAACATAATGGTAAAAAGGACTTTTACGGTGTGAAGTACCGGCACCCTAAGTACCGGTACTTTTTAATATAATTTGATCAAAAGATTTTCACGGTGTGCGAGTTTAAATTTATAATAATTGAGGTCTTAGTTATAATTTATGAATTTAACAATAATGTATTTTTATAGCTCTTCAATTTCAATTTTATTACATCCTAAATTGGTGAAACATTTTTTTTAAACTTTTTTCAGGAATGTTTTTACTACATGCTGCTTACATAAAAGTAACGGCACCCTAGGTGCCGATACTTTTTAATGCAATTTGATCAAGAATTTTTCACGGTGTGCGAGTTTAAATTTATAATAATTGAGGTCTTAGTTATAATTTATAAATTTAACAATAATGTATTTTTATAGCTCTTCAATTTCAATTTTATTGCATCCTAAATTGTTGAAACATTTTTTTAAAACTTTTTTCAGGAATGTTTTTACTACATGCTGCTTACATAAAAGTAACGACACCCTAAGTGCCGATACTTTTTAATGCAATTGGATCAAGAATTTTTCACGGTGTGCGAGTTTAAATTTATAACAATTGAGGTCTTAGTTATAATTTATGAATTTAACAATGTATTTTTATAGAGCTTCAATTTCAATTTTCTTACTTCCTAAATTGTTGAAACATTTTTTTAAAACTTTTTTCAGGAATGTTTTTACTAAATGCTGCTTACATAGCTTCTGATGATAGCGTAAGTAGATTTGTTTTTGTTACTAATATTCTGTGTTCCTTGTCCATGTTTACTCTATTAATGTTAAGCATTATATTTAAACATCTGAAGAAAAGCAAGTAACAGTTATGTAAAATATCATATTGCAACTTGGTAACTTAAATAAAAATTAAGTAATGTTATAGTTTTTTTTTTCATTTTTTAATATTGAAGAAATTACAAAAAGTAGGCCAATCAAAATGTTTTGAGGCCATATTTAGAAATGAAACACCTTAAAAAGTGTTAAAACTTTTAATATTTATACATTCTGTCGGTATATTTTTGTGTAAATCTCCAAACAAGAAGAATTCACTTTATGGGATAATCAGTCGTCACTGTGAAAAATTCCGGTTAAAATTACGGTGAATAGTACTAGCACCCTTAGTGCAACATCCATAAAATCCATTTTACCGTAAAACCCATTTTTAGCTTAAAAACCTAAACCGTAATTTTTACAGTAATATTTTTTTATTTATGGTGATTATTATGATTATGATTCAAGGTGATATTTATGATTTATTAAATATTACGATATTTTAGATTTTATTTTGTTAAGTAAAATTATACGGCAAAAATGAATTTTATAGTAAAAAGTATAGACACACAGAAAATCAGTTTAGTTACAACACTTTAAAAAATTCTGATTCAAATTCTGAATCAAATTACCATATAAATCATCATCCGTAGAATCAATTTTATCGTAAAATCTATTTTTATCGTAAAATCCATTTTTACCGTAAAATATTATACCGCAAAATTTTACAAAATTTAATCGTAGCATTTTCCGGTAAAAAAGGATTTTACTGTAAAAAGTACGGGCACCCTGAGTGCCACTATTTTTTACTGTAATTTGATTTGCAATTTTTTACAGTGTACATAATATTAATGTCCTGCCTTTTTATCTATTGTTTGTTGGAATTTTTGTTATATATCGCTTGCTATATTTTTGTATTATTGCTAGAGAAATTTTCACTATCTGAAGGTTGGTTAAAAAACTGTAATTTTTCAGAATAAATCATTTTTAAACGTTAAAGCAGTAACTCCAAGTTACCTACTCATTACTTATGTTCAATCTTAAATTTTAAGCAAAATAAATTTTAAATATACTACATTTTTTATTGTTTTGTTAAGAGTAATAGTTTGCAATAGTTCGAATTGTTGATGATCATGGACAATTGTAATTTCTTCATTAAAATTTTGGATTTCGGAATAAAATAATGTGCAGCTAACAAAATGCTTTTGAAGCAAAATAATAAGCTTTCTTATTGTACAAAAACGCTTGATAACATTCAAGCTAGACTTAATAATCTAGTTTTTAAAGTAAATCTTTAAAAAATCGAAGTATTTAGATTAATGCAGTTTCAAAATGAAAAACTACATCATATTAGAATAAAAATATTTCTGCTAGCTGAACCATGATAAATGTCAAATTTGATATAAACTTTGTAAAGTCTCAAACATATTATAGTGCAAAGTATTGAGTTTAGAGAGTACGATATTATGTTCCAAATTATCAATATTATGATTTATATCGCTTATAATATGTAATCGATTTTTCAGAAAGGATTTTAAACCAATGCAATCAATCTATTAAATAAAGTACCGATTTTTAAAGAGTGCATAATGTTTAGATTATAAAAATTGAAAAATTTTTTTTCGAATTTTTTTATTTTTTATTTTGCTTAAAATTTCTTATTATAATTTGTGAAATGCTGTTTATTTATCAGTACTGATATAATTATTGAGAAAAATACGAAAATATGGAACAGGCTAAGTTATAATAAAATTTCTTAACTGTAACACTAATTTATGTATTGTTTCATTAATTGTTTCTTAATGTTTATTCATTAATGCTTAAAATTCCGTTATTTAAATCAAAGGAAATATTTTTAGTTATTATTTGCACATCGTTAATAAAGATATAATGGAATTTTAGTGCATGAATTTAACACAATTTTGTAACTAAGAAAATACGTTTTTGTAGAAACGTTTCAATAAACCAATAAGAAACGTGAAACAATTTCCCAAAGCGGGAAATCATTTTAAAGAAAGTGTCTGTCATTAGTTAAAAATAAAATACTCTCCGTTTTCTGAAAATGTCAGGGTTATAAGTAATTAAAGGCGGTTTATTGTAGTTAGCCGATTGACCTAAATTATTCCATCCACGAAAAATGTCACTTAGAACTTTCACCAGAGGCGACGTAAAATATTATTTTTAAATTTTCTATACTTTCACCCTACTTTCATTAATCAATAACAATCTCAATACATTCCATAAGTTTTTCAAAATACGTGCTGCTATAGTATGGTAAATTGTTTTTGTTGGAGATTTCTTTTTTGCAAATGAATCAAAGACGTTCGTTTTTTTCTTGCAATAAATAAAAAAAATATGAAATGAAAAATTAGAATCTCGCAGAAAAGATTTCTAAAGTGACCAAAAAAATGGTTACAGTTAAATTTGACTAAAAAATCATTTAAATACTTTAAAATATAAAAATTATGACTAAGTTTATTTGAATATTACATTATTTATTATATTTATTATATAATTAATAATTAATTATTATTCAACTATTTATAAATTATTAATTATTATTGCTTAATTATTAATAATGAATTATTAATAAATTGTTATTTATTATATTGAAATTTTAAATTTTTCAGTTTAAAGTTTTAATTGATTCTGCGGCATAAATTACTAACACCAGAAACTGAACACGACATTACTAACTCTTAAAGTTAACCAACTACGAATTTTACAATTAAAAATTTTAAAAAGTGATGAAAAGAATGAAATAAAAAAATTTTACAGTAAAACTTAACTAATAAATCATTTAAATGCTTTAAAATATAAAAATTATGATTAAGTTTATTTGAAAATTATATTATTTATTATATTTATTATATAATTAATTAATTATTATTTAATTGTTTATAAATTATTAATTAATTATTATTTAATTGTTTATAAATTATTAATTATTATTGTTAATTAATCATTAATTATTGCTTAATTATTAATAATTAAATATTAATAAATTGTTATTTATTACATTGAAACTTTAAATTTTTCAGTTCAAAGTTTCAAATGATTCTGCGGCATAAATTACTAACACCAGAAAGTAAACATGACATTACTAACTTTTAAAGTTAACCAACTACAAATTTTACAATTACAAATTTTAAAAAGTGATGAAAAGAATGAAATAATTGCTGAAATTTTAACATTTTTGTGACAACTAAGCATATAATTTAAAAAGATAAATTATGTTTATGGAAATTTTTAGGTATCAAATTTTTAAGTTATATCGTACAAAAGACAAGTTAATTTTCACGTAAATATACTTCTGCAAATCTTTGAGACTCATATAAACAATATAATATTACAGAAAAATTGCTATTTCGGTGGCCTTAATGAGTTGATATTTTTGTTTCTATTTGAGTATATTTACAAAACTGTTGTCTGTGAAAAATTGCAATTATTTTAATCAGCTATGGACTGACTTCAGATACTTTTTTTTCCAATGTTCAGCTCTAGTGCGACGTAAATGAACCACAACAAATAATTCTTTTCATGTATAAAATAAGTACTATTTGGTATTTTCACTGTCAAAAAGAGTTTCTGAAAATTGAACAAAAATTGTCAAAATAGCTCAGAAATAAATAAAATAAATAGAAGATAAAATTAGAGAACCCCATGTATTCAAAATTGAAACAGTGTATACTCATTTTTAAATAAAATACATGTGCTTGCATGCAATAATAAATACTCAAATAAAAATCAGTAAATAAGATTTAAATAAAAATTTTCATACGATGATAAAAAAATCTTTTTTTTATAAAAACTCTACCACATTGCCATTTAATTTCATTCGCTAGAATATATTTTGATTATATTTTCAGAAAAAAGGTTTGTTTTACAACTAAACAAAACACAGTTAATTAATTTTAGAAAAATTACAGTACAAAATTAAAAATAATACAAAATCTTAAAATTTGTTGTTAGTATAATTTTTTTTAATTTGTTCAATAAAATTAAAATGTTTCGGGATGCTTAAAAACTGTTAAAGGTTTATTTCAATGTGATAAAAGTCCGATCAATCAGGTGCAATTAATTTAACAATTATAAAAAAGAAAAACAGTAATCTTAAGGTTCTTCCACTTTTTCTCCAAAAAAAAAAATTTACGGGGTGCATATTAAATTACGTGAGGTGTTTAGAGCTTCATAACTCGTGATATAATGATCGGAATGTTAAAAAAGTTGACACATGCTCAGCAGAGTATGCGGTTTTAATTTCCAAAAATAAATTAGTTCCAAAAGTTACCTATATGGGAAACTTTGGCAATTCGAGAATTATGCGTATAATAAATGAATGCATATTTGTCAACTAATGCAGTAAATAACTTTTTATAATAATAAAGAGTATTTATTTATAATTTACAAATAGGATTCAATGTGACCACCATTCTGATGTTCTAATAATTGTTAGCTGCAAATGACATTTTCAACCGATGCTCGCAAGATATTTGTGTTTGTTCCTCTGACGTGCAAAGCAAGACAAGCACATTGTACCCTATTTGTAAATTAGAAATAAATATTATTTATTATTATAAAAAGGTATTTACTGCTTCAGTTGAAAAAAAACCATTAATTTATTACACATATTATAGAAGCGCCAAATTTTGCTCTATAGGCAACATTGGGAACTATTTTTTTTTCTTTAAGAGATTAAAAGCCCATACTCTGCTGCGTATGTATGTTAATTGTTTTAAAATTCCGATCACGTGTTGGAGTACATCATGTGTTATGAAGCTCTAAACTCCTGGCGTTATTTTATGCGCACCCTAATAATTGCAGATAAATATATTACATTACATTGATTTGCTTTTATGAAATACTTGCATGTTTTTCCATTCATTCATGTATTTATTTATTTATTTACTACTTTTATTTATTTACAGTACGAAAGAGCTAAGTTGTATATGGAAGCATGCGCAAAACAAGAGCTCTTTGCCTCAGTTCCACCTCTTAATTTCACTTGTGACAATAAAATAGCCGGTGGATACTATGCAGATATCGACACTGGCTGTCATATATTTCATTTATGTGCTCCAAGCAATCTCCAGACCCTAACAGATCACCCTTTTTGTTGCCATCCAGAGCTAGTGTTTGACCAGAGATTCCTTGTCTGTGATCGTCCAGAAAATGTAGACTGTCCGGTCTCTAATAGATATTACAGTGATCAATTCGATGGTCCTGTCAAAGTACAACAGCGTGAAGAAGAGCAGGCTAGGAACCAAAACAGACAGTCAAGAGAAAATGAAGCTGAATCATCAGAAAGTGAAGAGATTGAAGAAGATGATAAATCATCGGAATTCGATGAAAGCATCGAAGTTGGCGATCAGTTGGCTGATAATCCTGGAAAAGCAGTGACTCTTCCACCTGCATTCAGACAATTGTGATTATACTGCTAGTTAGTAATTTATTATTGATTGCCAAGAAACTTCATAAGAATGTATCTGACATTAGCCATGCGCTAATATTCTGTTAATTCTGAAGTCAAAACAATAAATACTAATGAATTTGATACAGTTGAAGTTCCTCAAGAACATTCAGACTCTATAAGTGTGACAATGATTTATATCGAAAGTTGCTTTCAAAGTAAAAGTGTTGCTTTTTCAGTGATGGTTTTTGTAGATGGTTAATTAATAATGTACCCTTTTAAATGTGTTTAATCATTGCTTTAGTAGCAAAGGCAGAACATGCAGTTGAATGTCAAGTTTTAAATTTTAAAGTAAATGATATTTTTGAATTAAAGTAAGATTGCATTTTCTACGGAAGTAATTTCAGGAGAAAAGACTTGGACACTTTTCTGGTAAGTAGCAGATCGTAAAAATTTCGTAGAAACAGTTTACCATGGCATGTCACTGAATGAAACGCAAATTGTGTGAGAATTTTGGTGTACCAAACATTGAACTTTTACGCTATGTCTTTGAACTTTGGTAGCTGTTTTTAGAATATCTGGCTATTGACATTTTGAAAAACAATGCAAAGTTTTCAGTTGGATTACCTTCGCATTGGCTGTACTTTTTATTTGCAACTAATTCAACTTCAAATGAGGTTCTTCTGATAAAATTTATTTAGAAGCAGTTAGAAAGAAATTAGAACACAAAATAATTCATTGTGACACTTATTTTGAATTTAACGAAATACTACCACTAACTGTTATTTGAGATATACCACTGCTATGCCAGATTTCTATAGGCGTATACACCTATCCGTCAGAAATTTCTGAAATTTAAAATTTCTTTTTCTACAATAATGCCTTTAGAAGAACCTTTTTATTTGAGCAGCAATCATGCTTTAGGTTTTTGTACCTAAAATAATGTTTTTAGAAGAACTTTTTCTTTGAGCAGCAATCATGCTTTAGGTTTTTAGACCCTAAAATAATGTCATTAAGGAGAACCTTTTTATTTGAGCAGCAATCATGTTTTTGGTTTTTTTTCAAGAGAGAAAAACATTGGAAACTATTTCTGATCAAAGGGGTCATTTATCGAATTAATTAAAACCAACTGTTAAATTAGTAAAAGCAACGATATTAAATGTACCATTCAAAACTTCAGGATTTACACTGGTCTTACAGATTTTTATTAGTGGTAATAAATTTACTTTAACACTTGTAAAAACATTCTCTTTTAAGGATAACACTTGAATATTTTAAAATTTGAGATCTACCTTAGATTTCTTATAAAAATAACATGTAGTGGTAATCACAAGTGTATTAAAAAATCGAAGTTTGTTTAATTTTTGTTACCATTTTTAAAATTCGCAAGACCAATAGGAATTTCTATTTAAGGAGTTCTAAAAATAACATTTGAAATAAGTAATGCATTTTTTAATGATTTATTTTTAAAATATTAATTTATTGTAGGTGTTGTAAGCGTTAGCATATTTGTGTTTAATTGGGTACATTTTTATAAATATTATTTGCCAAATAATGTGTTGAACGTTTAGGTGGTTTATTGCATTTGTAATGTGTATGTGTAGCATCAAAATGAAATTAACAGAATTATCAAATAAACTATAAAATGAAAAGTAACCAAACTAAAAAAATATAATGCACATTCTTTTTATATTAAAATTAGAAAATAAAAAATTGGTTGAATTAACATGTACATGTATATAGAAAGAATTTCAAGATTTTGACTGTTTAAACTAACTAAAATCAGGTGCCCATTTTCGTCAATAATTTGTTTGTGTATGCTTTTTATTAACTGAATATTAACTATTAACTGAATTTATAATTAATTGATCTATCGTTAGCTGAAAACCTGCTATTAATTGAACTGTTTATTATTGACTTCCATGTAAGAAGACACTATTCCAGGAAATAAAACCTTCATAGCAAATTTTCTTTTACCCACGAAAGTAATTTAAGGTAGAGAAGCAATAAATTCATGCAAACCCTTAATAAACCATGAAGTTTCAAATGCTAAAAAAATGTTTTAAAAATATCAAAATACAAACAAATTACCGAATTACTTCTCCACTGCGCAATCCTTAGTTATCCTGTCTTAACTTTTTTTGTGAAAACTGAGTTCTGTGCGCAAAGTGAGTTCAGATGAAACTAGAGAAAACCATGAAGTTTGCAAACGTTGAGAAAATGTTTTTAAAATATCTTCTCTGCGCAATCTTGAGTTATCCTGCCATTATTCGTTTGCATTATAATATTTAGAAAATACATTTCAGCATTTGAAACTTTATGGTTTACTTTAGGTTTTTATGAATTCATATTTTCTAAACTTTAAAATACCAATGACAGTAATAGGTGAAACAGAATTTGTCATTAAAGGTTTCTTCCGCAGTATAGCGTTCTCTCAACCTTTATGTCATACCTGCCAACTAGCACAGTTGATGAGTAAAGTATTTCATATTAGTAACAGCATTTCTGCTTTAAAATATAAATCTCGGTTTTTAAAGTTTCAAAAAGAATTGCCTTTCTCTCTATGGCAAATGATTAATTTAAATTTATGTTGAAATTATTTGATTGGTAGATATGCTTGATAGTGTTAGTTTAAAATATTTTCCTATTTTAATTATTATTTTACTACCTCTCTGCGAAATTCTTCCTAATAACCATTTAAGTTGGCAGCAATGAAATATACTTAAAAAAAAGAAAAAAGTTCAATAATAGAGTTATGTTAACATTTTAAAAAAATACTTCTACAATGAAATATTTCTAATTAATTTAAATTGATTTTCTATTTTTCCAATAGTATATTTTTGGATAGTTTCATTTTGAGAAAACGATTTTTTGCATGCAAAACACATCAAAATCAATTTTGACTATTAAAAACTTCAACTTCACTTCAATGTACTTAAAAAGTTATTACAGCTCAATAAGAGAGTTTAAGTGTTAAGCCATTGTGGTCTTTCTATGTCTGTGCCAAACGTATGCATATAGTTCACACCATTTCAATGTAAAAATTATTAAACAGTTTCTGTTTATTTTCACTTCCGAATGTTGAAGTTTTGTTTAATGTTACAAAGCACTTTTGGTGATCAGATTAGTATGTGTTGCTTAATAATTCTGAAATTATTCTAAAACAAGTGTTACGTATAAATGTTTTTTTTTTTCAACATGTTTGTTATTTCATTTTAGTTTAGCTCTAACTATTTTGTGACTTGATGTTATTTTGCTTATTAAAATATACTTTGAAACATTTCTTGTTATATTTGATGTGTTTGAATTTTGATTTTTTTTAAAGAAAAACATTGCGCAGTCTGAAGCATAAAGTTATACTTTCCAAATGAGGCTTAGGTATACTTTGTGGTTCGCATGAATAAAGCAGAACAAAGTGAATGAAGCACAGAAGTACGGAAGTGGCATACTATAGTTTTGGTTATATAATCAAAAACCTTACTCAGTGTTTAAACACAAAAGATTCTAAAAGTTTAACACCTTTTGTATTTAGGCACCGAGGAAAGCTCTTGATTATAGGACCTATTCTTAATATCTAAAGACTTTTGTGTTTAGACACTGAGGAAGGCTCTTGATTACAGGACCTATGCTTAGTGTCTACACACCTTTTGTGTTTTGGCACTGAGGAAGGCTCTTGATTATAGAATCAAACTATATGTCCATTTTTGTACCAATATTTATGCTTTATTCATGTTCTTTTGCTTTATTGGTACACCATTATGTTTCAGTTTACTTAGATACAGTGATGGGCATCATTCACGAAAATTTTATTCATGACTAAATTTATTCAGAATAAATTTATTCTGAATGATTATTCATATGAAAATTTAGTCATTATTCATCATTCATTTTGCAAATGCATAAAAATTTTTGAATAATGATTGATGAATAAACTCATTAGTCATGACTAATTTTTCTGAATAAAATTTTGAATAACCAGCGAAAAATGCAATCGATATGTCTTTGTATATAACGAGATGCAAAACATCGTTTGCTCTTAAACGTCTTATTTTAGAAATTTAACTATAAAACTAAGACAAGTATGAATATTTATTTTTATGTTATTTTAACTTACTCCAGCGTAACATACTTAGTTGTGCTAAAAAGTAGGTTTATAACAGTTTAGTTACTTAAGTTCATTTTAAAATTTTGTTCTAAAATCTATAAAACACAATTTCTTATAGTTTTTGAAAACAAACGATAATCTTATTTTAAATTTTTAAATAAAATTTTAACTCAAAAAATTAAACGCTTTTTTGCCATGTAACCATTTTTCAAAAGTATGCATTATGTTTGACAAAAGTAAATTTCTTCAAACATTATATAAATATACTTGAAAAGGATTAACGTTTTATTTGCAGTTGTCATAATTGTAGTCAATTAGAGTATTCCGTGCCCATTTTTGTTAACCAGTGAAATTATTCAGTTATTCTTGACTAATGAATAAAGGATACTGAATAACGAATAAAGAATGATTTATTCTTTATTCAAAATATTTCTGACTAATGAATAAATCTTTATTCATCATTCATTATTCAGATTTTGAATAATTATTNAGTGTATTCTTTTGCTTTATTGATACACCATTATGTTTCAGTTTACTAAGATAATACATAGATGCTATTAAAGACCTTACAAGAAAGCTCCTTGTACAGTAAAATAAATGAATTAAAGTTTTTTTTTATACCAAAATACTTTGAGGTTAGGAATTGGTAAGTAAAAAGTTATGTTCATTTATCTATGGATATAGAAATAATTTTTTTATGAATTATTATTTTTAACTAAAAAATTATTATAATTAACTAAATATTTTTAACTAAAATTTTTTATGAATTATTATTTTTAACTAAAAAAATTTAACTATTATTTTAGTTAAAAATAATAAGTTAAAAATAACTATTTTTAACTTATTATTTTTAACTAATAATGAATTATTATTTTTAATTAACTAAATAGAAGAGAATCACTGCTATTTTTTAGCGATTCAAACACCGATTTATGAAGTATATGATACACAGAGTAACATCTGCAATGCGAAATTTGTTCATGGTTTAATAAAAATACTTTATTTTATACGAACAGGAATGAAAAAAGAAAACTATTGCAAAAATGATCCAATAATCATGTAATGAAAATTATTCTGTTTATTTTTACACATTAAAAGATTACTATTTTAATTTTCTGAGAATGAGCCATGAAATAAAACAGAATGTTTGAGAACATAAGAAATTTTTTTTCGTAAAAACTATTTTAAAATAATGATTTCCGAATTTCGAAAAACTTGAAAGCATATTACATTTCAGAGCCATCTGATGTCACTTTTTAACACTAACACCGCTCTTCTTTTAATCAAAAAATTAAGATTTTAATTCTAAGGAAGACAAAAGGGTTTTCACAAATTATTTCCTAACCTTAAAATTTAAAATAGTGTAGCAAGTAGCACTTGGAGTATTTTCTTTGCTTGATTCTGTCAATAATTTGTTCTTTGTAGAAATTTTGTAATAAATATTTTAGCTTAAAATTGTTATGGCTATTGCAGATTAAAAAATTCAATAAACTAATGATGCATAAGGCACTTTGTAAATCACAAAATAAAAAAATAGAGCATTCTTATAACTTTCGATACAAACATTGAAATTTCTCAAGTTAACAGGCAATTTAATGGTTCAAAGGGATTATCTTAATATGCTAATTATTAAAAGTTTAGACTACATTTTAAGTAACAAAATCAATCTCAAAATTAATTTCTAATTTCTCTAAATAAACATATCAACCTATTTTTTTTAAAACTTAAATGCTAACATTTTTAAATATGGGGGGGGGCAGCCGTAATCTATAAAATACGGTTCCATGTTCCAAATGTTTAGGTTATGTTAAATTGATATTGTGGATATTTTACAATATCTGTAAAACTATTCAAAGAAAAAAAATTTTTTTTCTTCACAGAATTGTAAAACTTTTTTATTCAAAGATAACTTCATGCAAAGTATAATATTTTAAATTTGCTTATTATTTTTCTAATTTATTTTTATAAAAATTGAAAAAAAAATAATTTTAAGGTATGCAAATTTTTACATAATTAAAATTTGCATATTTTTAGACTGCAAAATCCAAATTTTTACCCGAATCGATCCAATAGTTTCTGAGCAATATTGTAGTTTTAAAGAGTAAAGGTATTTTAAATTTTCTTTTCCTAGAAGCCATTTTGATCGATTCAGCATTAAAAGAAAAATTTAGATTTTATAATGTAAACTTACTTAGTATGGAATGATATAAAAATAAATGTACCTTTCATTTTAAAGTTTTGGCTCTGCTTGAATTGTCTGTAATGAAAAGTGATCTTCACATTGTAACATATAACATTATTGCATGTAACAATATAATAATAAATAACATTTTAATTTAAAATTATAACATTAACATGTAATACTTGAAAGAAAAAGAGCCCGCACTGATTTACGAAACTTGTTTACGTCTCGTCTACGTGAACTTTTTTAACTTCATGCCATAAGTTAATTAGTTTTTAATTAGTATATTTTATTATTTATATTTTTAAATGATCAATTTTGAATTCAAAGTATTCATATTTTTACGCCTTTTTGCTAAATATCGATTCTAATAACACCTTACGTGTGAGAAATTGCTTTTTGAATTGTTCCATAACAAAAACAAATTTGAAAAAACAGTTTTAACCCGTTCTTTTAAATTTACTTCAACCAAAAATGTACTTTAAAAGGTATTGGTGGTTTTGATTTCTTCGTGAAGGCATCTATATATAACTTTCTTTTTTCTTTCTATAACTTATCTAATAACTTAAAATTCTGAATTTTTTATAGGAGTTTAGCGGAAGAACAGATATTTAAATGTAATTATTTAATACTTTTATGAAATATTGAAAAAAACCTTCATAATTTAATTTTCTTAATAAAAATATAAAATATTTACAATATTCAAGTGTTGGTATGAATTTAATTAGCATACAAAGCTTCAACCAATTACCAAGTTTTAATTTAATTAGTTTATTATAAGTCTTGTAATTTTGTGTGTCAGATAAAAAAATGTGATTTGAGAAAAACAATTTATTTGATAAAACTTTGAATAAATAACTTTTCAACACAATACGTAAGTTTGCGGATGATTCCGATTTATAAAATGGGGGTGTTATTTTCTATTTTAAGTGTATAGGTTTCAATATTTTTGTTGTAATTTTGAAGTTTTTTTTAGTATTGGTTTATACTTGGTTTCAGATGGCTCAAAATTAAGCTCGTTATAACATATATTTTTATAGCATATTATTATTCGATTATATTTTTATAACATATTATAATTCGCTTATTGTTCGATTAATATATTACACATATATTAATCGAACTACACTGGTTATCATAAATTAAGGAAAAATCACAAAAATAGCGATAACTCTTTCAAAAGTAAGCCAAACCGTGCAAAATTTGCATATGTTGTCCACTAAGAGTAGCTGAGTAAAATTGCAATATGCAAATTAGTGGCGCTGCACTCGGCTTACGTCATCTGCCTGGAGCATAAAAGTCCAAGTTTGAGAGAAAGCACACAAATTTTACTGTGATTGCGACATTGAAAATCTGAGATAGCCAATTCGTAATAATGACCTCTAGGCATCATTTGCCTGAAGAACTACGATGGAGAGCCATCGGGAGACTAGAGGCAGGGCAGAGTCAATCAGAAGTGGCCAGATGGCTAAATGTGAGTCCATCTGTGGTTCATAGACTTTGGAGGCAATTTCAAACCACAGATTCGGCATCTAGGAGGTTCAGTCAAGGACGGCCAACTGTTACGACCAGTGCCGATGACCGATATTTGACATTAAGTGCACGCAGGAATAGAACCGCTACTCCGACACATCTTAGATCCTCTCTTGCTGCAGCCACCGGAAGGTTGGTGTCAACGTCAACTGTGCGCAGAAGGCTCCACGAAGGTGGTCTGTATGCGAGACGACCAGCCATTTGCGTGCCGCTCACATCACGCCATAGGAGAGACCGTTTGCAGTGGGCCCGACAACATGTCCACTGGACGTCAGATCAATGGAGGCCTGTTCTCTTTACGGATGAGTCCAGGTTTAGTCTAGAAAGTGACAGTAGACGTTATTTGATATGGAGAGAACCTGGGACCCGTTATCATCCATCAAACATCCGTGAAAGAGATGCATACGGAAGAGGCAGTGTCTGTGTTTGGGGAGGCATATCCTTAGGAGGGCGCACATACCT